CACACCTTTCTTAATTTTAGAACATTCAGTGTTCCCATGTTCTGTTCAAACAACTGCCTCTTGGTCCAGGTACAGATTCCTCCTGAGCACAATTAAGTGTTAACAGCTGGGCCAAGTAACTGTATTTAATAATCTCAACAGTTTCCCAACCTTTTGCATTGTCTGAACAAAACAAACGGTTACTTGGCCCAGCTGTTTCCACTCATCGTCCTTGTTCTAGTCTACCTGCTCACTTATGAGGGCCATTTCTCAGGCACATATGGCTGGGGCCCAAGTTGTATTGTGATGGTGGTGGTTATGTGACATGGAGTTGCCTCTGACTCATAAGGACCCTGTATAGGATTTCTGAGGCTATAAATCTGTACAGGAGCATAAAGCCTCATCTTTCTCCCATGGAACAGCTGGTAGATTCAAACTGTTGGACTTGAGGTTAGTAGCCATTATCCTACCAGAACGTCTTCCCTAGCTTTATATTAGGGAGAAATTAGAGTCACTGGGCATAAGAATTGGTATTTTCAGAAATTTAAAGGCTGTGTGTGCCATGGATTTTGCAATTTTTTTCTTTCTGAAGAGCTAAGCAAGTGTTTGTGAATTTTAAAAAGACAATCAATATCTCTAGAAATGTAATGTCCTGGAGAACATGGCTTTTATCTGAGTCCTGTAGTTGAAGGAAAACCTTCAAGTCAATCAATATAGGAATAAGATCCACAAGGAGTATGCTTTTAAAGGGTTTTATTTTTCTGAGCTAAAGTGTCATGGCATTGCTGCCACCAATCTCCCTTATCCGTTCTCTCTCTCACAGAGTCAGCCTCTCCTCTGAATAAAGTTGAACAAAAATAATGTTGGGTTTTTGGTTTGTTTGTGTTTTAAAAGCTTTTATTGTGAATTGAGTGATAGTTTACATTGGAGAACATCAATTTTGCATTCATCCTATTGCATTTCGTTTCATTGCAATGATTACAATTCCTTCTGTGCATCATCAATCAACAGTATTTGCTTCTATTCCCTCTGGTGTTTTTGTTTTGTTTTGTTTTCTGCACAAAAACACTCAGGAGTATATAATCATTTAAACAACTCACCAAAGGGCACATTCTGCAAACCTGCCTCCTGGCTGCCAGCACACAGCCTTTCTCATTCCATAAGTCTAGAGTCCTCAACTAATCTATCTTTCCATGTGTCACCTCTGCCTCTGTCTCTGGTGTCACTGCTTCTCTGGATAGGATTCCACGTTCTGCTCATGCTTTTTTCCATTGATGGTGCTAGGGTCCTCTGTTCCTGGAATGTAAGATTAACTATTCCCCACTTTATGTTACAAAACTTCTACCTTTACAGTTGTGACAATCACAAATAATCGTAAGAACAATTGTTGTTGTTGTGAAGTGCTGTCAAGTCGGTTCCAACCCATAGCAACCCTGTGTAGGGTTTTCAAGGAGCAGCTGGTGAGAACAATTACTCACTTTTAAGTCATAAGAATCTTATCCCCATTTCCTTTCACCAGACCCTTCTAGCAGGATGAAAACTATTCAGTGGAGATAAGAATGTTGGTTTGATGGGAAGACAATTTATTAACCTTCTCAGGTGCCTTCATGTCTCTGTCAGACCTTATGTTTGCTATAAGCATCACCTAACTTATTACCTCTCTCTTTTTTTCTGTTTATTTCTATAGTGTCCATGGAAAACATTGGAGAACAAGGTAAAACATGTTATTGTTATAGATATAAAATTTTCGAAATAATTTGAAAAATTAGATAATATTCATTTAGCTTTAGTTGTAACTAATAAATTACTCTTTGAGAATCTGGAGATAAAATGAGAATTCAGTTTTAGACTGAAATAAGTTAGGCACTTGACAAAGAATTCTGGTCCAAAATGGCCATAGTTGTGCCAAGAATTCTTTTGGCTTTGTAGTACAAAAATATCAACAATCTTCTGTTCCAACTCAAAGTATTAACCGATACCTGATAAAGCTCATGGAAAATATCATTGGCTGTAGTCATCCATACAAGTTTAAGTGCCTTATAGGAAGACTGAGGAGCTCTGGTGGCATAGTAGTTAAGCACTTGACTACTAAGTGAAAGGCTGGTGATTCTAGCCCACCAACTGCTGTGCAGGAGAGAGATGTGGCAGTTTTCTTTCATAAATATTTACAGCTTTGTGAAGCCTATGGGGAAGGCAGGCCTATGAGTCAGAATCAGCATGACTGCAGTGGGTCTAGTTTTATTTTATTGGATGACTCATTGTGTGTGTGTGTTCTTTAATGATTCTTTAAATAAAAGTATTAATATTCTTTAGAAAATTTAAAAATTGTTACAAAATCCTTAAAATGGCAAATATACCATATGCTAAATTAGCATATTTTATTCAGCTATATTTTACAGAATTGTTATATATTAATGGAATCCTGGTGTAGCACTATCAGATAAGCACTGAACTGCTAACTGCAAAGTCAGCAGTTCAAACCCACCAGTCACTTCTTGGAAACCCTATTTGGGGTGTTGGTGAGTCAGAACCCATTTGATATCACTTAACAACAATGTACAAAATAGTTTTCACTTTTTTTGTTGTTGTTATGTGCTGCCGAGTCAGTTCTGACTCATAGTGACCCTGTATAGGGTCACTGAGGAGCATCGGGTGGGTTTGAACTGCCAAATTTGAGGTTAGCAGCCCAGTGCTTACGTAATGTTTTATATTTGTATAGTACGTCAAGATTTAAAATGCCATGCAAAGTATGTTTATACCTGGAAAAAAAAAAAGTAGTCAGAATGCTTTTTAACAATTATCCCATGTGGTAAGCAATGCACTTGAACTGCCACTGAAGGAAATCTCTGTCCAGATTGAGTTTGTTGAAATATGTTGTCATTCAAATTGATTAGGGCCATTAGTTTTGACTGTTGTTGTT